TATAGAGGATGGTGCTAGACCAAAGGAATAATATTATTGTACACATCTTCTAACACCATTTTCTTTGTTGCCCTCCTTCTGTGTCATTTCCCCATCCTGTCTCCCAGATTCAGATCCTTGGCAGGTTGAAAGAATCCTCATGAATCCTAAGATCCCCCCATTTCAGTAGTCGCTACAGCTATCAAGGATGTGAAGTGTCACTAAACTGTGGTAGATGGGAAGAGCAATTTTTATATCATCCTTGTGCTGTTGAACTTTACTGTATTACTGCTGTAATGGCTGTAAATAATCCCAGAGGGTTTTTGTATAGTTCTTCATTAAATGATGTGTCACTTACCCTTACGCCACTACGGACTGCAAAAAATATGTCTTTGAAGGATTCAGCTGACCCAGCCAACGTTTTGCAGATTTTGGGGGCTAACAAAATGAAATGTTTTGCTCAGTAGTGGGAAATACCAGGGTTTTTTTTTTCAACTTTGCTACCCTAAACCAGTATCAAAACCAAGGCTCATATTATTTCCATAAACAATTTTTGGCCATTCAGAAGCTATAATTGTTTAACCTTTGGCAATTATTTTTTTTTCTAGAGAGAAAACTGAATTGCACCAAATTGGTCATTTTCTTCAAAAGTCAGTGGGTTTAAGGGATTTAAGGTCCTAAATTTTACTTGCTTTTGAAAAATTATCAGTTGTCTCTGGGTGCGGGGGCAGGGGCAGGAGTTACTGTTCATCTCTTTGAGCCAGATTGCCTCTTCCCATGGAAAACCCTGTAGGAAGCTGGTAGGGGAAGAAAGTTTCATGTTATTTTTTCTTGTGAGGTTCCCCCATACCTTCAAGGAACCAAACCCTCCATCTGTTCTATAGAAGGAAAAGGGAGGTGTTTCTTCCCCCTAACCCAACAGAGAGAAAAGGGAGCTTGCCTTCGGGGAATTTCAGATCACTTGAGAACATCACTGATTTCAGGCTATTTATTGAAGGTCACAGTCATCGGCACAGAGGCCTCAAGCATCAGTGCTACTGAGCCCTCAGCCGGCCAGCTCTTGGCTTTGAAGAAAGTTCCACTGGATGGAGGGCCCTAACTTCAGATTTCCCACTGGCTGCTGGGGGAGGATGATATATGTTGTAAATGCACCTTTTTCCTTTACTCCCCATGTATTGATTCCTGACCCCTATAGATGTCACCCCATAGGGTCTTGTGGTGGGAAGGACAGTACTGAAAAAGACCTGAAACTTCTGTATGGGAAGGGGGAAATCTTCATAAAAAGAGCACCAATATGAACACGTAAGGCCGTGTTTTTAAACTTCTAGTTAATGATAATTCCAGTAACTAAGCAGAATGAATATTTTTAATACAAATTCTCTATTAAAGGATTATGATTTTTAAAATCCCCAGTAACATAGTTGTGTAAAATTAAACAAATCTCTATACACCTTATGCTCTATGTTATTATATTTCCATATTTTTTGCCACAATATACCTACAGTGTGATAGACACCATCACACAGATCAGAAATCAGCAGGCTCATTTGCACAGGACCTTAATAAAGGCCAAAGGTAAATATCAATTTGAAATACCTCTCTGTCATAAAGGCTGGTGGTAGGAACTGGATTTTAGCTTACTCCATTGTTCAATGTGCAGAAATTGCCTTTCTGTATTTGATCCATCCTGCTGAGCACTATCAGCGGTTTGCATCTCTGCCACTATTGCTTTTAAAATGGCAGCAGAGACGCGACTAGTTGTCAGTGCTCAGCAGGACTGTTCGCATGTAGATGCGATTTTGTGTTATAGTAAAGTAAAATTATTTTTCAAAATCTCAATAATCTTGAACAAGTGTACAGAAGAGATAGATCATCACTTAATGGCAAAGACTATGTCATACAATGTGTTTGGACTGCACCTAGTACTTTGTGGATGCTGCTGTAATTAAAATAAACTAATAAATGAACAAAAGCAATGTGGAATATAATCAGTAATATTGCCACACAGTCCCTATGACCTTACACAATATGTTTTGAGTTTTTTTATATAACTGATACATAATTGTGAAAATATATCTGGTATCACACTTGTTACCATGACATATATTCCTCATATCTGTAAGAACAGTAAACCCTCTTAACCCGTTTTTATGCCATGTATGCCAGGATAAAGAGTTGCTGTTGGGGTCAGAGCATGAGAGTGCAAGTTGAGACTTTAAGACTGTGTGATCAAACATGAATCATTTAAAATATCTGTGGCTTAGTTTACACGTTTATATAAAATGGGTACAGTAATAATCTACAGCGATTTTATGAAGCTTATTTAATATTTGTAAAGTGTTTTGTGAGGAAAAGGGGATGAGTGTGTATACATTTGTTTATACACAAATATTTACAGAAATATTTACACTAATCTACACAGATATTTAAGTAGCAAAATATTGTTATTATAAATTAATATATATTGAGGTGAGGTAATGATAACAGTCCTGTGCTGCAAAGAGTCATGATGTCACCTAAT